ACTTTGTGCTTGAGTTGTACTCTTCCAAACCAAAGTGAACAGAGGTTTGCACAATCTTGTTCACACTTAACAGTTATTTATTAACAATCTATACTACTTAAATAAGTAGGAGGACGGTTTGTGTGTGTGTGTGTGTGTGTTTTATGAAGGTGGCTTTTACTAAATGTACACCATTTGTTTAATTTAGAAGCCCATTTTCCAGCTGTGCAACCTTCGACAACTTACGGGGCAAGAGTGTGCTCCAAATACGGCAGAACATTTAGTGCATTCAGCGATCCAGTGCCGACAGTGACGTCCTCTTCGTTTGTCAAAGAACAAGGTATTCCCTTTTAAAACACACAATCCCCGAAAATGGCATATTAAATTGGCGTTTTTTCGTTATTTACTAGGTTTTCGAGACTAACAATAACGATAAAAGTAGTATCATCGATTGCTATAGCAAATTTCAGTTTCCTCCATCGAAAATCCCAATAGAGAATGCGATATGGGAAATGCCTGACCTTCCTTGAAGTGTACATCGGCCCAGTGACTCGAGAGCATCCTTGGAAATGTGGCTTAGTGGTTAACGTGTCATGGTTCGACTCCCGCTGAGGGTCGAGACTTCAGTCCACCTCAGCCTGGATGAGAACAACTTTTGAGAAAACAAGACGATGTGAAATTGAATGGAAACGTCAGCTCTACTCAACATCTTCAACGAACTAGGATGAACACAACTCATAAGCGTTGTATGTTCACCGGCTGTGTTCACCCAATAAATGCAATCAAAGCAGATTCACTTAATGAGATTTTGATACCGCTTCCGTCCAATTCGCTATAGCATGTCATTGACAAATCATTTTTCAGGCTCGTGGTGGGTCGCCAAGCGAAGACGTATCTTATGAGTCTGCTAATCCGTGAGACGTACTTTTGACATGTCATTTGCTCACCCGCTTTCTGGGTTGGTATTAGGCCCCAGCAAAGCTTTGCTGCTCTAGACGAAGGTATTCGAAGAGCCTTGATGTTACACCTTTACCATCAACATCATTATCATCATCATCATCATACTCAACAGCATCAGCATCATGCCTATAATCATTAAAATGATCACCATCATCATGTCTATCTTCAGCATACCGTCCTGCTTATCGTCGTAATCGGGTTTACTATAATCATCATCATCATCATGCTCCTCGCCCTCATCATTATCAGCGGTAGCAGCAGCACTAGCAATATCTTCATTATACTCGTGGTCATTATTCATATTCTCATCATCAGCATCACCATCCTGCGATACCTTAATTGTGTGTCTTAACTCGAAAGCCACCGGCGAAGAAGCGATGAGTTGTGGAGGTGTGGTGGAACCTGGCGTCGACTGTGCCAGAGCTCGACTCTCCGACATTCAATTCAAAGAAATGAGTCGTTGGGCGACTTGTGCTCTTGTCTGGTCGGGTTTTCGGATAGCCTCAATGCCGGCTCCGGTAAAAGCTCTAGCGGATGATAGGTCCGCCTTAATTCGAAGGAAGTGTACTCGACCAGCTTAACGTCCTTTCGTCAAATGGTACCAATTGCAAGTACATTTCGAAGTTATCACAACATCATGAATAAGACTTTTAGCCATAATGTGGTAAAGAACTGATAGTTGCGTTTTTGCCCCCAATCAGAAGAATAGACCTTACGATGCCAGTTAATTGTATTCGGCCTTGCCCCTGGGAACGCGGTCTCGACATGGCCTGGGTCGCGACAGCAACCTCGACGGACTCGAACCCGTGGTTGTCGCACTACGTCACATATTTATGCTTTTCCAGAGGATTAAAGAGAGGCCTGCATGGCATTCCCAGTAAGCCAGTCCTCTTCCATATCGCATTTTCTGTAAAACAAACTTATGCGTTGCCATTATGATTGACTGCGTTACTTATATTTATAGGAAATAGGCTTGAAAACAGTCACTAAATCCTAAATAAAATTTTAACATTGAAATAGACTATATATATATATACTTTTATTTTTAGTAGGTAGATATTGAGGGCATCCGTAAATCTTTTGTAAGAGTTCCTCTCACAGTAGATATCGCACATATAACTTGTATATTTGGAGTTTTCTATTACAATCAAAAACCTTATT